AGATGGAGAGGAACTGATCACTTCCTTTTGTCACTGAGTCAATGAACAAGCTGGCAAGGAGGTCAGAGGGGCTTAGCACCAAAGTCGAGCCTCTTCCAGTCGTCACTGGGTGATAAGATTGTGCCACAGCACTGTCAGGGTCCAGTGTTGATGGCTGGAGACAGTGGTGAACTCCTCTATGGCTTCTTGTTTCTCTATTTAAAAAATATCTTTTCTTTCTACTGACTTTTATGGAGAAAATTTTTAATAGTGATTATTATAAATATTACAACTGCAGGTGAGACCCTAAGCTGAACTTCACAATCCTGTCAATACACAACACTCAGTGGACAATTCTTAGCTGTTTTCAGACCTAGCTGCCAGTCTGTCAGGGGCCGTGGCATAATATAGCAGATGACAATTTATATTCAGGTGTCAACACACCTGACGAATAACTCTCTGGTGGAGGAACCTTGTTCAAGCAAGGATTACGAAGCCACAGACACTTAATACTGTTTGCTTCTGTCTATAATTTTCTCATGTGTTACTACAATTTTTCCCTAAAGAGCTGTGGGATTTTTTTCTACAGCCTGTATTGGTAATGTGTTTTCCTCAAGAATATATATTCCACTTATTGGGCATTTATGCCTGAAGATGACTCCTTATTGTCCAGTTGGTATCTATAATGTTAGCTTACACAGAGTTTGTTGAATAAACATGAATACAAAGAAATTCTACACAAGTCAGGAATTATAAGTCCCTGAGAACTGTTTTATTTCACAGCTCAGGTTGACATAAGGAAATAGTTATATCCACCCAGCTCCAAGACAATGGTATATCATTAGCTGATTTAATGCTTTGAAGTAACTTCAGATTAAGACCAGGTGCCTTGCTGTCACAAGGGCACACAGTTGAGATGCCTGGCTAGGTTGTAAATATAGAGACAGCCCAATTATTGTTATCTGACAAATGATTAAGTCCTTGCACCCATTCCTGACCTCAATTTGTGAAAATATATTCTGCCTAACCAAGGCTACAGAAAATAACTTGACTCTGTAGACCCTAATGAAGATTGCAGGTGTTCTTAGATAATGAAAAGTTATACACAGGGCAAAAAGTACATTTTAAGATTTAAGCATGATGTTGCCATAGTATCCTGAAGAATATGGACTTAAGCTAAAAGACAAATGGTTTCTCATGAATGCTGGATTAAGTCTCAATTGAAAGATTTATGGTTTCCTTGCCTGAAGACTCAGTGCTTCCTCACCAGCTACCCTCTAACTGCAGGGAGTTAGTTCAAAACGTTTACGTAGTCATGGTTTCTTATCATTTACTTAAGAAATGTAACGGGACCCCCAAATGTAACTTTTATATTGCCTGAAGGTTTCTGTTGAGCATATACAGCTGTAAGAAGAAAGAGGAAGGGGAGCCAACATGAGAAAATAGACAGATGAAGGAAGAGCGAACGCGACAATTAAGAAAGTTACCATCGGAACATGTCTGTTCCTTTCCTAAGAGCCTCAGATAAAAAAAAACGTTCCTGAAGCCTTTGCTGCTCTGCAGCACTTTCCTTGCTAACCCTGGAGCAGCCTGGAAGCTGGTCTTTCGGACTGCAATACCAGCCATTAAAGTGAACCCTCCCGGGTGTTTGTTCATGGCAGTCCTGGACAGCAGCTACTTCACTGCATGTCTACACAGAGCATCTACACCTGGCTGGTGCCTGTTTTGCCTTCAACATGGTGCAGCCATGTCTCCCTAGTGTCCCTACTTTTCCAAGCAGACCAGCATAGACAGGGCGGAGGCCATATGTAACTGCAGTCCAAACCCAACCACATAAAGGGAAGTGCTGCATTGCTCCTGAGGTCTGGCCTTCACTGCTGGCTCTCAGTGATGAATGTGCAGATTTTTCTTACTGCTTCTTTTTCCATATTGGGCATGCTTAGTAATCTGCCTGCATAGTGCCCCCCCAAACCCCCGCCACCACACATACACACACAATGCCAGTACACGAAATTCCCAGATGTGGGTTATTCAAATGAGACATTTCAGAAACTCGTGCTCTGTCCCCACAGTCTGCTTCCCTGTGTTCAGAGCCACGAAGGCAGAAGAGTGGGATTGCTCCACGGGTCAAATGCAGTCTTAGCACAGGACGTGGTAGCTATGCAAGGGCCAGTTCAGCAATCCATCAAGCAAATGACACAGACACATAAAATAAAAATGAAAAAAAATTGTCTTTTTTTCTAAGTGATGAATTGGCTCAGAAGTCATCATATGCCTTTCTTTTAATGATCCAGGATATTTGCACAAATGAGCCACGTTTACTTGAGGGACAGGATTGCTGATCCAGTTGTCTGTAAGGGATGACTAGTGGGATGTTTTTCTGGTGCCAAATCGAGAAAGGCAAATTGGAGCCTACAATGGCATCAGAGTGTGTCTGAACTTTACTCTGGAAAAAAGGGCTAGTTTTTTCCATTGTTGTCTCCATAACTTTAACTTGGAGGATTCTAAAATAAATCCACAAATCATGGTCAGTATGGTAAGTTCACAGCACCCATGCACCCCTTTCCCTTAAAGCATGCAAGGACGGTTAGCCACTTCACACTGAAAATGACAGCAGCCAGCACCTTTGATTCACAAGACACTGAAGCTTAGTACTGTATGAGGTTTCTTCTGCTTGGTCTGTAAATCCCGTGTGTTTAAAATATGGAAAATTGCAGAGAGCCTGTTTTCTCAAGAGCGATGTGAGTAGAGGCAATATTAGAATTGCTTTTAAACATTGGTTATATTATACAGACCCGGAATTACTCCTAAGATATTATCAGTGTATAATATATACAATCAAGATGTTATCTATATTTACTTTATTTAATAAAAATTTTATTTAATAAAAATTTATTTAATAAAAAATAAAAATATTTACTATATTTAATAAAAAGTATTTACTTTTTATTAAACAAATATACTAAAATAGATGCATGCCATAGATAGATAGATAGATAGATAGATAGATAGATAGATAGATAGATAGATAAATGTCACAGAGTAAGAGATGGGGCTGTATCCTAGTAATCAACCATGGCCCACTGAAGACTGGACACAGATGAGCGCCTTTGATTGACATCTGTGCTGTGCCTTTCATGGGAGCAAACCCATGTGCACTGGACCAGTGGCTGGAGAAGACAATGTCCTGTTGCTGATGCTATTACTGTGGGAAGATAAACTCATGTTCAGACAGATACTTTCTGTTCTCAGTCAGTGTGGAAGTGACAAAGCTGGTTACACAAAAGGAGCGGGAAAAGAGAACGGCGGTCAGTCAAGACCAGAGAGAGAACGTGGGACAGGACAGATGTTAGACATGAACAGATGGCGCGCTGGTGTAGGGTCATGATGCTCACGCCCTGTAGCACTGCAGCGTAGCTGTAGTCCACAAAAACTGCTTGTATGTTTGAAAGGGATCCAAAGGGCTGAAGGTTCCAAACACAGAGAAACGGCAGTGTTTGAGAAGGTGGGAATTACCCTGACTTAGTCAGACCAGGATAAAGGGATGTCTTGAACTATGCTACAACTGTACCCTGCATCTAAGTATAAATTGATGCTAATTAAAATGGAATGAAAATCCACATATCAAGGTTTTCACCAAGTATCGGCCCTAGTTCTGAAACTTTAGAAGTACACTTGTTCGTGAACTGTAAACACATCCATCTTCTCTGAGGAACTTATGGGTCTGTAAGTACAAGGACATAGCATGAGCTGTGAGACATTAGCCTTACAAACCTTAACTTTCTGATAATTTCCTTTTCCACTGGAAAAATTGCAGCAACATGCTTTTCCTGTTTAAGAAGTCTGAATGAAAACATAAACATGTACCTTGAATTGTTTTTTAATTAACTTATTTTAAGTGTATGGGTGTTTTGCCTGCATGTATGTCAGTGTGCTGTGTGTGTGCAGTGCTCACAGAGGGCAAAACAGGGCATATAAACATGTATTTTAAATTTTGAAAAAACTTACTTTATGCATGGTTTGCCTGCATTTATGTCTGTGTACCACATGCATGCAGTGCCCATAGAAGCCAGAAGAGGACGTCAGATCCCCTGGGATTGGAGTTCCAGACAATGGTGAGGTTCCATGTGTTTATAAGGGATCAAACCCAGTCCTCTGCAAGGACAGCCAGGGTTCTTAGTCACTGAGCCATCACTCCAGCTCCAACACGTATTTTATAGGAAAGATTCCTTCAAACATCTTCATCAAAATTTCTAGTATAAATTAAGATTTACTTACTTTTATTTTTAAATTGTGTGTATGCATTATATGCACATGGGTGCAGGTGCCATGGAGGCCAGAAGAGGATATCAGATCCCTGGAGCTGGAGCTTCAGGTGGTTGTGAGCTGCTTGACTTAGGGGCTGGAACTGAACTCAACTGCCCTGCAAGAGCAGCAAGTGCTCCTAACTTCTGAGCCCTTGCTCCAGCCCCATCTCCAGCCTCCCCTCCCTCAATAGCTGCTATGGGTTTCTGACTTCACTGCCCCTTAATGATGCTGTAACCTGAAAGTGTAAGCCAAAGGAACCCTTTCCTCCCTATGCTGTTTTGGATAGGCTGTTTAATCACAGCAACAGAAACTAAATGAGAACACATTCCATTTGAAATAAAACATATGAAGCTTTAGTAAAAGGATACCTGGCAAGATGACAAAAACCAAAACCATGTATCACAATGCCCCTAAAATTTAACCTCAAAATGAGGCAATAGTACAGAAGCATTTCTATAATATGTGAACATTTAGTGCACAGGAACTCTAGGCACGGAGGGAGCCCATCAATGTGCACGTAATCCAGCCATGACTGAAAATGATGAGGCATTGGGATTCAGGGAGATTTGAGTACTGAGGTGGGTACCGGGCTGGGTCCTTCAGTTTTCCTAATGATAATAGTGTTGGGTACCAATGATACCGTTACTGTTTGTAATGAAGAATTTGTCTTGGTTTTCTCCTCAGATACTTACTCTAGTTCTTTGTCCCATACAATGAGAAGAATCAACAGACTCTATGGAGTTGACATACAAAATACTTTTTTCTCTGAAGTAGGCCTTGGGATTTCATTCAACAGCATCCTCCTCCTCTTCCATATCCTTGAGTTTCTTCTTGAACACAGGCCCCGGATCACTGACCTGCTCATAAGTCTCTTGGCCCTCATCCACCTTGGCATGCTAACGATCATGGGGTTCACAGCTCCTGACATTTTTGCATCTCAGAATACATGGGATAACATCACATGTCAATCCCTTGTCCACTTGCACAGGTATTTAAGGGGCCTTTCTCTTTGTGCTACCTGCCTGCTGAGTGTCCTTCAGGCTGTCACCCTCAGCCCCAGAAGCTCCTGTTTGGCAAAGTTCAAAAATAAATCCCCACAGTACAGCTTGTGTTCTCTTCTTGTGCTGTGGGGGTTCTACATATCCTGTGGTGCTCATTTCTCATTCTCCTCTGTTGCTGACTACAATGTCACCTCACATGGGCTCATATTTGTCACTGAATCCTGCATTATTTTACCCATGAGCTATATCAGCAGGCACTTATTTTTCATATTGAGGATATTTCGGGATGTGTCCTTTATAGGTCTCATGGCACTCTCCAGTGGGTACATGGTAGTTCTCCTGTGCAGGCACAAGAAGCAGTCCCAGCATCTTTACAGCACCAGCCTTTCTCCAAAAGCATCTCCAGAGCAAAGGGCCACCTGCACCATCCTGATGCTCATGAGCTTCTTTGTGGTGATGTACTGTTTGGACTGCATCATATCAGCCTCCAGACTTATGCACAACAGGGACCCAATCTGCCACAGTATTCAGATGATGGTCTCCAATAGCTATGCCACCATCAGCCCTTTGCTGTTCATTTGTACTGAAAACCGAATTACTAACTTTTTGAAATCCTTGGAATTCAAGGGCATAGGAAATGCTTAACTATTGAGGAACTTAAGGAACCAACATGTATTGGTGAAATTATTAAGGCCGCTCCACGTAGTTAAAAGGGAGGTTTATTTAGTGGTGTAACTTACAAATGAAGGGATAGGTAGGTCGCAGGGTCTGGGAAAGACATAGCGCAGTCCAGCAGTGTTCTCTGGAGAACTCTGCTCGGTCTACCTCCAGCGTCCAGGGTCCAGGAACCAAGAGCGACGGCGCATCTGGATCTCGGGTCTTCAGGGTCTTCTCTTGGCCCCACCTTGTAGGCGTGATAGTTACCAAAGCCTCAATGGGGTTGGAACTTTCAGTTCAAAGCTGGAATGGCTACCCACTACAAACATGCTAGCTGCTGAATGGTGATTGCTGGCCTAGTGCCAATGTGCTCCTGGATACATTTATATATGACTCACGATTTGTTAAACCTGCTTCCTTTGAAATATGGATGACCAACACCTCTGAATATTTAAGTAAAACATCATTCTGTGCATTTCTGCTCGATGTCACTAGGGGAAACCTGTGATACTTTAACAGCTTAGGGTGCACTTATCAATAAGCTAAAGTATATAGTGCCTTTTGATAAGTCAATCATCTCAACACTTTGTATTTTACCTAATTAAATATGTAAGCATTGCCACAAATTAGCATATCATCCATCAAAAGTTCATAAGTGTACAAAAATAGTTGATATAGAATCTCATTGCTCTCCCACTCCGTTCCTGTTCCAGATCAACCATCCCTTTCCCTCATGTTCTCATCCCCCATCCCCTACCCTCCATTGCCCATCCCTCATCCTCAGTTTACTCATAGAGATCTCAAGATGAGAGTTCTTGTAACCCCAGCACTGAGTGGCAGACAGGTGGGACCCTAGAGCTCATTGACAATCTAGCCTAGCCAAATGATGAGGCCCAGGGTCAGTGAGGGGCTTTGTCTCTCTCTGAGAGTAAGCTGGGAAGCTGGTCCAATGGGTAAAGCGCTTGCCATGCAAGTGTGAGAACCTGAGCTTGAGTGCCAGGCATAGTAGAGTCTGTCTGTACCCAGTGCTCCTACGGGAGGAGGGAGATTGAGAGCCTGTCTGTACCCAGTGCTCCTGTGGGAGGAGGGAGATTGAGAGCCTGTCTGTACCCAGTGCTCCTGTGGGAGGAGGGAGATTGAGAGCCTGTCTGTACCCAGTGCTCCTGTGGGAGGAGGGAGATTGAGAGCCTGTCTGAACCCATTGCTCCTATGGGAGGAGGGAGATTGAGAGACTGTACCCAGTGCTCCTATGGGAGGAGGGAGATTGAGACATAAGAATTCCTAGAAGCTTGCCACCCAACTAGCCTGAAGTAGACAGCAGAGAACAACAAAGAGATCCTGTCTCACAGAAAGTGAGAGGTAAGAATTGACACCTGAGCTTAACCTCTGACCTCCACATACACGCCCCCCCACACACACACATATAAAATAAATGAATAAATAAGGTAGGGGTGATAAAGGAAAACAGTTAATGTCCATTTCTGGATTCTACATGTACATGTACACACTTGCACATGTATGTACACACACATGTACATTCACACAAACATGTAAGTATACAACATTCATATACACACACAAAGAATATTTAAATGTTAGTAATAAGGAGCCTGGTTCCTTGCAGAACTGACCAGTTCGAGGACATAACAAGATAAATGCAGAGGAGCTTGGCTGTCTTTTGCCAGAAAGGAAGTCCTCCCAAACAACACAGATGCTCAGCAAAGGGCTTGGGAGTGGAGATGAGAGTCGCCGAAGAGCCAGCACTGGAAATTGAGCCATAGAACAAATGAGACTCAGCAGCAGGCTGAGCTGGGAGCACAGAATGAACACATCTCTCCATGCTGACAGTGAGAAGGGAGAGGGAAGGTCCCTGGAAAGAATTTAACTGATGTGCATCGGGCACACCTTCAGGGAGGCAAAGCTTCCATTTTTGATGGTGGGCAGGCACAAAGAACAAAGCAGGAAGAGTGAGAAGATGAAACCTCAGAGGATGAACCAGGCAAAGACAACCTTGACCAACTGATGGAAAATAGCCACAGAGATGCATGTGGATGTCACATAATCCCTGTTATGACTTCACTTCTGTTTGTTCCTTGAAGTCATATAACAGTCTACACACACACACACACACACACACACACACACACACACACACACACACACACACGCCACCCACTACTGTCAAGACACTGAAAATAAGGACAGGTTGAGATTCTGCTACAGGACAGAAGAGACTGGTGAGCATGGAGTATGGTGTGCTGCCCTGCATTGGACTCAGGGACAAAGGAAAGGGGCTAGTGAACCCAAAGGAAGCGACCCAGGGTCAAGAAAGAACCAAGAGAAGTTAAAATTCAATGAGAAAAGTGAAAATGAGAACAGAATACCCAAACCTAGGAATATCAAAAAATCAGTACTAATGAAGAAATTCTTAAGTGAGTGTGTGTCGGGGGGGGGGGGGGGAGAGAGAGAGAGAGACAGACAGACAGACAGACAGAGACTATAAACAACTCAGCACTGCAACTGAGGGAATGGGAAAAGAAGGGGAAAAGGAAAGAAGAAAGGATGGTAGGCAGGACTCAAAGTTGAAATAAGCAAAATGGAGACCAAATGCACTATAAAATATAAATTAAAGAAAGGTTTGCTGTAGCTTGAATCTTTTTTTTTTTTTTTTTTTTTTTTTTTTTTTTTTTTTTTTTTTGTAGCTTGAATCTTAAAAGGTCTTATTAATAAGAACAAACCTGAGGCCAGGTATTGGGGTGAATGCTGGAAGATCAGAGAAGCAAAACAAGCCACAGCTACCTCACCTCGCCAGTTCCTCAGCTCATCCTGTTTCTTCAGACTGGAAGCCTCTGAGTCCTCATCCAAATGGGTCTCAGCTGAACTGCTGCTCAAAAGCCTGAAAGCTTAACCAGCTAAAACCTTCTAGTTTCTGGTCTTCACACCTTATATATCTTTCTGCTTTCTGCCATCACTCCCTGGGATTAAAGGCTCACTTCTTGGGATTAAAGGCATGAGTCACCATGCTTGGCTGTATCCTTGAACACACAGAGATCCAGGTAGATCTCTGCCTCTGGAATGCTAGGATTAAAGGTGTGTGCTACCACTGCCTATCCTCTATATTTAATATTGTGGTTGTTCTGTTCTGTGACCCCAGATTAGTTTATTAGCATGCACAATATTTTGGGGAACACAATACCACTACAGTTTGCTTTCTTTCAAAAGATAAAAAATTGGAGCTGATAACTCAGCCCTTAAGAGCAATGGCTGCTCTTGCAGAGTACCTGCGTGGGATACCCAGCATTCACATGGCAGTCACAATGTCAATGACTCCAGTTCCATGGTGACCCAACAGCCTCTTCTAGCCTCTAAAGGTGTGCACGCAGGTGGTGCACAGATATACATGCAGATAAAGCACTCATACACATAAGATTTAAAAATTAAATTAAAAAATTTAAGACAATTTGAGTCACCTGTATCTGAAGGCAAAGAAAAAAATTTTAAACTCTAGCCTCAACATCACACACAGAATTAAATTGATTAACCACCTAATATAAGGTTTAAACACATAAATCTCTTAAAAGAAAACTCAGTAGTGAACACTCACAACCTTGACCTTGGCAATGGAGTCTTAGAACAGAAGCCCACACACAAACACAAACTTGCACAATGAAACAAAATATAAAATGAAAATTTTGTGCTCCAGGGGTCATTATCAAGAAAGGAAAAGATGACATATATAATGGATGATATATGCAATGGATGACCTATATAATAGACAACATATATATTGGACGACATATGCAATGAATGACCTATATAATGGACGACATATATAATGGACGACATATGCAATGGATGGCCTATATAATGGACGACACATATAATGGACGTTGCATGTCCATTCCAGGCTGGAATCCCCTAGCAGCTCTACAGACCTTTTTGTCTCTCACACATCATCGCCTCACCCCTAGGGTCTGGTTCTCTCTGAAGCAGCAATAAGTTTATAGAGGCAGAAGCAATAGAAAAGTGTCAGTCCTGGCGAGGGCCCATTGGCGCCAGCACCTCTGTCCATGACTAAAGGCCCCCACATTACCCCAAACTGTGCAGCACCCAAGTCACTTCCTAAGTACAAGGGCTGACACAGCTCAACGCAGCAGAAGCCCAGTAAGGGTGTCACCTGACCCACTCCTAAAATGCCAGGGTGAAGCCCCAGGACTTCTCAGCTCCCACCCCAGCGACCCCAGGGTCGAGCTGTCTCGCTTCCCTTTGCTGGTGTCTAGAGGGCATCTCTCCCTGGTGTTTCTGACCATCCATTGACTACCTCAGGACTTAACTATTTGGTTCTGTTTACTGAGGATGCTATCCTCCTGGCTTGGGAATGGGGTCTGAGGGTCTCTGGAAATGGGGCGGTGCCAGGGCTCTGATAGGTGGTTGATGCTTTTGCCAGGGAACGTCCTTCCTTCAGGGACCCTTTTGCTACCTGAAAGAGCCCTGTCTGCAAAGGGGCTCGCCCTCACACTGCACACACGACTTTCTGCTGGGAGCTGAGTGCTCTGGGGACAGCTGTGGTCCTGGGTTGGTGGTCTTGCAGGACCTGCTGTGCTTGTGGCCTTCAGGGTCCCTGGGAGAAGCTGACACCAGCCCCAGCTTAGCCCCCTCCAACCTGGGGGTGCTCTCAAAATCCGGAGGTAGACCCACCGGAGCTGAGCGTGTGGCTGAGCTGGTCCTCACAGGTCCTCAATGGGTGGAGTCCAGAGACTACCTCTGGGAGTGGAGCTAGGTGCCCAGATACCATCTGTCGGTGCCATAGGTATCAGGTGCCAGGGACTCACTGCAGTGGGAGCCGCTAAGCAGAGGAATGCACAGTGCACAGAGCCACCTCAGCCACTGCCACCCCGCCAAGAGCACGACAGCCCTGCCCACCTCCCTCGATAATGTAGAGCTCCCTCCTGGGGCTCTGGAGCAGTGTGGGTGTGTGAGAGTCCCCT